TGCTTGTTCGGAATCGCAGATTGAAATTCAACATGAAGATCTCTGACGTGTTGACAGGCAAAACCTAAAAAAATTGAAATATTGTTTTATTCTCAGTCATCAAAAGACGGAATTAAACGGAAAAAAATTCACAAACTTTGTAGCTTGAAGATTTCATGATGAGATGCCCACGTTCTATCAGATCCAATGTTAGCTTAGTGTATAAGAATGATCCCTTGGCGATGCTGACAACGTGAGAAACGAATTTGACACAAGCCTCTTGTCCCTTCTTAGTACCACTATTGATGGAAATATTTTTGCTAATGGACATGCTGTTGCAGAGCCGGAAGTTCACATATTCCTCCAAATCTTGCCTCACGTTTCCAGTACTCGAATTCCCATCATCCAAGCTATATTTTCAAAAAAAAAAGAAAAATCCCTTCTTTTCAAAACCCGCTTTCCAACATTTTACAGTCATCAATTTTTTTTACCTCAGAACCCTGAAGGGCAAGAGCCTGGTGACATCATCCCTCTGGGATCTCACAGTCACAACCATTTTCAACCAGCCTGGAAACTTCATGATGTGTCTGGTGAGGAAGCTGGCAATAGTGTCTCCATAGTCGGGTTTATGATACTCTGCTTCGCATAAGGAATCCACAACAATGATGCAAGTCTCTCCTGAAAGTCTCCCAATTCGCCTCAAGGCTCCCAGGGGCTCTAGGATGCCTTGCACCAGAGCTCTGTGAGGGTCGCAGATGCACTCTCTCAAGGACAACAGGTCCACTGTTGTTGGGTTTTGCAGCAAATACTCTCTATAGAAAAGAAGAAACATGTTATTAATTTTTCACAAATAAAACTTTATAAGAAGGTACTTTTTTCAAATCTTAGGGGACCATGAAAAATTGTTAGCTTTATGTGATTTCTCCTCAAAGATTTTCTCCAAGTTATTTAATTCAGTGGTCCACAGACAAGTGCCGGTCTGCAGAAATTGTCTTCAGCATAATAAATGTATCAAAAGTAGCATTGAAGTCTATTATCCTCATCTGGAATTTTGGAAAGACAATACCAGTTGAAATTATCTGATGAAAATTAAAAGTTGGCTTTTTCCTAGTAACACTCCAAACAAATTTGCAGATGCTGAAATATTTATTTTTCATTCTGAGAAGCCTTTCTGCAAGCCCACCTTTCTATTTTTCTGAAAACATTCCACTAAAGCCACTAGATTGATTCTTAACTTTATTTTTACAAAAAGCAGACATTTTTAAATACCTCCCATAAAGTCTTTAAAAAAAATCTTTCCTGAGTCTCCAAAAATTTCATGAAACTTTGCCAGTCTGCATAAATGTTTTTTGTCTGCAAAAAATTTATGGAAATTTGCCGGTCTGCTGGCCCAAAAAGGTTGGGGAATACTGCTTAAATAAAGTTAAAAATCCGTTCATTTCCTAATTGCATTTCTTGCAATATCTCAATGATTAGGTAATATTTAAAAGGAACAGACACAAAAATCTTACGAGTGTCTTTCCCAAAGAAGTTAATTTGAAACCTTGTTACCGCACCTAATCTGTCCGAAGAAGTCTCCAAATTTAATTAGAGATGTAACAAAAAAAAGTCAAAGAAATTCTCTTTTTCATTCCACTTGAGGCATTTCTTTCTTCTCACACTTCAATAATTATTCAACACTGGCAAGAAAGAGAAAAAAGATTGTTCAAGGCATTTCGGGCACGAAAACAAGTTTGAAGCGAATTTTTGGATTTTGACGAACACGCTTTTTTTCTTTCTTTTCAAAAACAGTACCTGTAAGCACCAAGCTGAGGGGCCTGGGACAACTGGGCCGCAAGGTTGTGCACAAAATCAGGAACCAGACAAGTGGGTGCGTTATCAGCCTGGCAAAAGTGGAACCCAACGACTCTGGACCCAATTATCTTCAAGCTATCCGACACCAGACTGAATCTCGAGGCTCCCAATGAACTCTGGCTCTGGTTCATCGTCGACATCATGCCTTGGTTCGACATTCCGCCTCTCGTCCC